GAAAATTTACTGCTCTGTCACAAAATCATTGTTCTTTCAAAGGAGAACGCAATCAATCAGCAATCCTCTCTCATTCACACACTGAAGTCTGTAGACCTGCACACTGCAGCCGATGCACAAAAAAAATGCATTTTAATAGTTCAGTCTAACCTCCATTGGGCCCTTGCTGGGGCAGGCAGAGGCGGTGGCAGAGGCAGCAGCGGTTCTCTTGGGAAGCAGGGTCTTGCGTCGAAGCTGGTAGGGACTGTTCTGAGCTCCTGGACCGGACTCCTCAATAGCCATCTCTGCTGCAGCTGCTGCAGGAGCCTCCTCATCTGGACAAAAGGGAAAACAGATTTCCTATACATACACCACTTTCTCAAGAGGCACTTCAGTGCACAAGGCTGCAGTATAGACCAAGGCCATGCAATTTAAAAAAAGAAGCATTGTGTATGTCTCTGAGAAGCTAAATCATCTCTATTTTGCTCAAACACACAACAAACAAAATCTCACTGACGCTCTGTACATTTATGACACAACGGTGTGTATTCAGCTCACATGCTGTATGCACACTGCGCAGGCTGACAGACATGGTAATAGTTGGTAAGGCAGACAAAGGTTAGTGATTGATAATGGCAGATGCACCCCCTGCAGACACATAACCAGCCTTTCATGTCTAGTCATTCACAGCTGATATCGGGCAGAATATGCGTGTCTGTCTCTGAGCCCTGTATGTGCAGAAGCAGACCCATCTTTTATGGTGCTGTCAAATTAAGGGCCGCAGATGAAGTCGATCAGACGTGCGGCTAATGGCTAAAAACTGAACTGCGTAGCTGGCAAATCCGCGGTGTAAACAAATCGAGCTACGGCTAGCAGGCTCCGAGAACAAGGAAGGGGATGTGGGTTCAGTGTGCTGGGCTACGATAGCTTTGAACTACAGCCCCGAGCGCAGAAAATGCACTCGGTGATTTCACCCAAACCACACCGTATCATCTATCACAGCTGATCTTGTGTGGCCTCTTGAAGCTGGGGGCAGCTAGCTGGTAGCATTGCCCCCATTCGTTGCTAATGTTTTTGTTAACGTTACACCCCAAAAATGGCAGTCCAAAGACGCCGCAGATTTACACCCTCGGAATCGTTAGTGACAGCTGGGAATGCGACGGCCGAGGAGACACGCAGATTGTGGTTAGAGCCTGTGTACTTGATCCTTTTACCTCAAGCTGAGGTTACCTGAATATGCGCTATTAATGTTGGCCGTTTAGCTACATACGCATTACGTTAAGGCGAAGACAACCCCCAACCTCCACATAACCTGGTAAGCTAGCTAGCGGTGTTAGCTAGCCCCAATCACTCAAGCCAAACAAAGCGCGGCCTGGCCTAAGCCACAGAGCAAGAAGCCTCGGGTTTTCCTGCTGAACCTGCCGTCTCCAGGAGTGGAGAACAGGCCAGTGGCGGAAAACGAGGGCCATGTGAAGACGGTTCCGCCTGACACGGCTTCGTGTTAAAACATTAGCTGGCAGTGGCCTAGCTTACCTCTATCCCCGTTGTTCCGTTCGGGCTGCACCGGGCGCGGCCTCGACACTCGCCTGGGTCTCCTGTTGGTGGCTCTGACGGAGTTCATCTGGGGAGTTGGTTGTTGAAAAATAGACTGCTATCCTCGACCGCCCGCTTCTAAATTTAGCCCTCTACCCAAACTACCACCCGCACAGCCCTTTTCCCGGATACACCCAAACAACTGCGATCAAAAACCCGCTGGTATTTGGGGTGTAATCGCTTTTTTTCCTCCGTGGTGTTACAGCTCCCCCCGTATCGCTACTCGGTGCCAGCTCCGTCTCAGTCTCTAGCAGGAGGAGCCATTAACCCACACGGGAAACAATCGCGAGAAAAAAAGAGCAGAGTGCCCCTTCGACCAATCACGTACAGCGTTTTATGAGCGCTCGCCGCAGCAGCCAATCAGAAGCGTCGTATCACACGGCTTGACAAACCTTTCTGTTGGGGTTCGGGATCGGTCAAGCGGCGACTTGATCAATACATGGGCAATAAATAATACTAATAATACAATTAATTAACATTTTGCAGCCTTATTCCCCACTGTCATACATACATAAAGGCTTGAGCTACATGTAAGCATATTCTGTAACAGTGTGACACATTGACAAGGCATAGACTTTATTAATAAACCAAGCATTTCAACAATCATCCTCATTTATTAACAAAGCAAACCCTTAAATTTGTCTAATTATCCTCCTATTTAATCGATTTATTTGCCACATACTGATGCAAATGCCAGTGTTGGGACATACTGAGCATATGGAGGACAGACACTGGGGTTAGCTGCAGGAGATTTTAATAGTGAGCTTACATTTTCACAATTTAAAATCTTAAAGTGAAATGGAAATGCGAGTTTTAAAGCAGGATACATGGATTATGAGATTATAGGTGGAGTAAAAGTTTACAGTTCTATTTTATCTGAAAATTATTACTTTATGATTTAAACAGAGTTATTAACAGGGAATTTAAATTTTTGTCATTATTTTGAGCTTTTTAATGTACTATAATTGAAATGCACATTCGATCAATCAATATATGATTTAAATTTGGAATGTATCAATGTATTAATTAGAATTAATCACCGAGCACGCCCAGAACTATTTAAGTGGCAGTACAAATTGAAATCCTTTTAACCCATGAATGCAAACTGAACTATGATCTTGTTACAGCCGCTTTTCAAGCCTGCAGGAGGTGAGTGTGAGTCTCCAGTCATTCATGTCGGGTGGAGTATCACTTTAATAAACACGTTTAGCCAATTAGTATCATTTCATATAATCGGACCAGCAGATGGCATTGTTTGGCTGCAAAAGATAAGGCTGCGATCTCACCGCATTTAAGGACACAGCGCTACTGAGACTGCTTTGTTGCATTTTTACAAGGTCGTACCTGGAGTTTAAACAAAAAATAAAAAATCTTTTGTCACATTTTTTTCTGTCTGGAGAAGGTCTTTATATAGGAGTTGTTACCATGCCTTTAATCATGCACCAAAACCAGTGATTAATCATTTTTAGAAATGACTTAATATAAGTTTGAAGACCAAGAGGGGTGTGTTCCATTTAAAGCATGTATAGAGCTTAGGAAAAAGAAATTAAGGTAAGGACTGTATATGTGAGGAAAAAAATTCAACAGTCTGCTAGGATGTGGCCTTATAGTTTTTGGTGGAGACATGAAAAGCAGGGAGAGAAGGAGGTGTGACATGGAACAAATTAAGGTCAACAGGATGCTCTGAATGTTATTCAAAGTAGTTCCAGCTAAATATCCCAAGAGGAGCTGCAACAGCAGTGCAACTTCTGCACATTAAAGGGATAGTTTAGACTTTTTCAAGTGGGGTTGTATGAGGTTCTTACCCATCGTCAGTGTGTTACATGCAGTACATGTTTGTCGGCATGCCCCTAATTTAGAGAAGCAGGTACGAGAGCCAGCATGGAGGTTAAGTGATGTACTGCTGTGGAAGGTGGCAGCGGCAAAATGTGTTTTAGGTACCTAAAGAAAAGACGGGCAACTGAAGCCGTTACATCGCTCCCTTCAAACCAGATTCCATTGATAAAAAGAGTAATTTAACCCTGCTGAATAGGGAGCTGCTGATCTACCTCTGCCTCGATTAGATAGTTAATTAGTCTCATTTTGTGACTTTGACACTTAAAGGTTAGTGCCGATTCACCAAAGTCACACAATAACACAAACAAACCGAGGCAGCAGTAGACCATAGCTAGACCGCGTTCAGCAAGCTAAAATTGCTGTTTTAGTCAATGGAGTCTGGTGGCTTTCACAAGAGCATAAACAGGGAATTAAAAGGGCTGTCTGCAGCAAGGTAAAGTGGTGAAAATATTCTCAATATGGCGTACACTTAAACTGCGAATGACTTTTTTAAGTGGCTAAAATGTTTTGCTGCTGCCGACGTCCACAGCAGTGTATTGCTTAGCTTCTATGGACGTACTGCTGACCACCATCTACTGTAGGTAACACACTGACTGTGGATGAGCATGTCATACATCCCCACTACAGAAGATCCAAACTATCTCTTTAATCTTAAGGCCTCAATGTGTCACATTATTTCACAGTGCTCTGTCTGGAGAGTTCAAAGATTGCCAGCACTGCATGTGCTTTACTGTCTACAAGAGGAGAGGGGAGTTTTTCAGAGCTGCAAAAGCAACATCCTACTGAGACTGTATCAGCCTTTCTCAGACAAAATTATTCTGCTGCAGACTGCAACAGTGATGTAATCTTGTATGCAGTTTTTTTCCTCATGATAGTGATGGTTTGATGTCTCTGTTTTGTTTTTATAAGGACATGTTGTGAGAGAATAGTGCGTTTTATTGCTCTGTTAAAAACAAACTGATTTATGCTTCTGTGTCTACATTAATTTTACCTCACGCTGAACTGCTATGAAGGTTTGCTTTGCTGTCGCTATCAATTGTGTCTTTGCAGAGCCTGCTGAGACTTTAAATGTGTTGTTGCTCACAGCTGAATAGACCACAGCAGAGCAGAGAGCACAATAAATCCTGCACCGGTAGCATCACCTGGTGGTTAAAGAGCATTAATGCACCCACACGTTCGATGTTGGCATGTAGGAGGCAGTGTATCCATATCAATGAGATGGACTCAGATTCCTTCTTGCAGCTGCAGCCTTGAAACCCCGGGTTGCTTGCTTATGAGTGTGTGTGCTTTATCTAGCTGCCATATCCATCCTCCTGTAATGAGCAGAGAGAGCAGCTGTGTAGCTTCCACTCCCACAACCCACCCTGGCACACAGAGCAGAGGTTGGTGGGGTCACTTTGTCCTTGAAAGCTTTGGGTGCTCTGAAGGACAGCATTGCTAGATAAAGACGGCTTCGTTTAATGTGTGTGTGTGTGTGTGTGTGTGTATGTGTGTGTGTGTGTGTGTGTGTTTTTCCTTTTGTTACTCCTCCTCATACACTCACATTCACCGTACAAAATCTACTCAGGCAGTGAGGATATAATAAACACATTTATAAATGACATGGAAAAGCATTACAGAGATATATATTGTACAAAACACACAGATGTATATATAAAAAAAGTGAAACTTAATGATACTTTCATTTACAAACGATAATTGCATTACAAAGATAATTACACAGCCTTCATTTTAAGAGAAACTGAGGGGTAGGAGGGATGTGGAGGCATGGAGAGCTACAGCAGACAGAGTGTATGAGGAGATTATTAATCAGCAGGTCCCTGCGGTGTGCTCCTTAATGAATATCATTCAATCATAACGTTGAATGCTAAATGAATGTTGATTTCTTGATGTGCATATATGCCGATATCCCGAGCGTCAAACCTTTGTTAAACTGTTTCAAAGTACCTCTGTTCATTTCATTATCTAGAGACACCAGATGGGTGGCATTTGCTTCACAGGACCATGCATGGAAGTGAAATCAGTCTACCTCTACTCCCTCTACTCCTACTTGTGATCTAAATTGTTACGGTGCAGTAAACTCCACCCATGTGGCGTTCCAATCAAGTTAAAACAAACGCGAGGAATTATCTAGGACAGCTGTTTGACCTAGATTTAGCCAAAGTATCTGCAGTTGTTCTGTAGCTATCTTTACTTGGATTTCTGTGCACACTGTAAGTACAGTAGAGTTTAGCCATGGGTCACATGGTTTAAAAAGGACACTTGTGCTGTGTGTTGCTGCAGGTCAAAGGTCAGGCCTGAAGCAATCCATGATACTGGCAACATATCGGAGAAACATTAAACATTAAGTACATTAAGTACATGCCTCTGGTCTGTTGCAGGTCACATTTTTGGCCTTCAGCGTGGCTCAAAAACTGATATCCATAGCAATTTTTGGTCCATACCTGATATGTAATGATCCACTAAAATGAGGCATGTTATAAGATGATACCACGTACCGGCTGCCATGGTTATAACCTGAATTTGCACTGTTCGCTGCATGATGTCATACCAAACAGATCTTGCAGATTTTGTTGACTACTCTTCTTATTTTGCTGTGTATGGTGAGGTCAGGACTTTATAAAAAGGTAGCGACCAGGTGCCAGACCACAAGTGGCACACTTTCAGGACAAAGCTACGAAAATTGCAGATACAGTGTTGAAAAAAACCCTGCGAATATAGCAAACAAGCGAATCTGGGGTTGGTAACCGACAATTCCTGTATGGTATACTTTACACAAAGTTGAATCTCTCGTAACTTTAAGAGGCATTTGTACGTTCTGTCAACATCTCCAGGAGACCTAAGGGGAATTTTCTTTATTTGCCTGGGAGAAATTGGACTTCTGTGTGGAGAGAAAGACGATCCTCCTGTTGAGAAAACAAGCAAAAGGTCTGTACCTGTGTTTTCTGAATGAGAGTCAGCAGTCTTGTTTCCCATCTTGACTTGATGTATTGGTCACAGGGTACAGCATCACATGGCTGCTCTTTGGAGAGGTCCATGCCGGCTGCTGACAGGAGGAAGTCTCCGTCCGGTAAATCTGCGCCCGGGTTTTAAACAGGCCAAACCGAGCCGTGAGGAAAAAGAAATCCCGCCTGAAGGCGCGGGTGAAGAAGGCGTACAGGAAGGGGTTGGCGCACGAGTTGATCGGGTAGAAGAGGACCAACAGGAGTTTGGCATCTGAGACGGTGATGAGAGGGAGCTTGAGGGCGGCTGACACGGCAAAGAAGGAGATGGGAGCCATGCAGACAAAGTCGGTGAAGATGAGGACGGCCATGCGCTGAGCCACGCGGGTGTCAGCGTGCGGTGGCGCAGACGAGGGGTTGCGGACGGCCAGGTAGATGCTGAGGTAACAGCCGCACACACAGACGAAGGCCAGGATGTTGAGGAGGAGAAGAGACACCACATAGACCTGAGACACGACAGACTCCACGTCCATGGGCAGGCAGATACTCACCTACACCACCAACAAATACAGAAACATAAACACACACATTCAGGGATCACACAGTGTACGACGGCCTTGAATGTATTTAAACCAGTTAAATCAGTAAGCTACACAAACAGATGCTTACGCTGTCTGTAAATAGCTTTATTTATATGTACAAATACAGTAAAAATACTTGAGTTTTGTGTCTGTATGTTGTCGGACATGTCCTCAACATCTGGAATAATCATTTCAATTTTTATTTCCAGCAACCTAAAAATCAAAAAATAAAGACATTTCCCTCACAAGATAGTGGTTATTTACTTTTTAATTTAATTTTCACTTCTGCTGAATAAAATTCAATTAATCGTATTTGCATAACGTTGTATATATTACCTTCCAACACATCCTTCCGATAACTTTGCTAAGTCTGTTGCTAGCTCCCCGTCAGCTCGATCTGGGCTGTCTGAAGGTATTATTCAATGTAACACATATTAATGTCAGTGTAAGGATGCACTACAGTTGCAGCGTTAGCTAAAGTGACCATGGAGACTAAAGTAAATGTTAAATATCTTTGTGTATCAGGCTGTTGGTCAGACAAAGTAAAACATATGATGACATCACTTTAGGCTCTTGAAAGTAGTTATGATGATTTTATTTTCTTCTGGTGTTTTATGGACTCAACAATTATTCAAGAAAATAATTGGCAGATTGATCACTAATGAAAATAACAAATCTATATCCACTGAAAGTCGTCTCAGACATACAAAACAGTACACGTGTTGTCTTGCTATTATTCTGACTAATCTTCTTTTGGCTGTTCCCTTTAGGGGTCACCACAGCGAATCATCTGCCTCCATCTAACCCTATCCTCTGCATCCTCTTCTCTCACACCAACTGACTTCATGTCCTCTTTCACTTCATCCACAAATCTCCTCTTTGGTCTTCCTCTCGGCCTCTTGCCTGGCAGTTCCCACCTCAGCATCCTTCTACCGATACATTCTCTATCCCTCCTCTGAACATGTCCAAATGTAAAGATGGACGACAACTCTCCACTTCCCCCCATATGGAGCTACAACAGTGACAGTAAGTTTTGTCACAAATAAAATGTGGCATTGAAAAAGGAAACACTGGCTGAAAAAAAAACAACTGAAAAATAAAACAGGCATTAAAAATGATCTTAATTTGATTTTTTTTTGCCTTCTGATGTTTTTTTTTGATGACAATCTTCTCACTTTTTCTTAATGTCAATCTTTTTTTCAGTTCCAGTTGAAATGTAAATGTAATCATGCTGTCCATGCCCCTTCCCTCAAACTCCTCCGCTCCACACCAAAACAGTGACAGAAAGTTAAAACTGAGAAAAGAAGAAAACTAACTTTGTAATAAAAAAAATACACTGAAAAGGAGTGTCATGATGAAAGAAAAACAAAAGACTGTCATTGAAAATCGCTCAAAAAAATAAATAAGGAAAACATTTTTTCAATGGAAAAAAAAAGTTTCCTTTTACAATGCCAAATTTTATTTTTGATGCCAAAACGTACGTCACTGTTCTAGCTCCATATTCCCACTGTACCAAAGGCTAGCCAAAATATCCTGGATACGGCCGCTGCCTTCTTGCACTGGTGACATCATTTGGAGCCAAAATGTGTGCAGTAGCAACCTCCCCTTTTATTGCATCAAACAACTAATTAAAGCCAAATCAGATGACACTTGAACATGCAGCGGTGATAAGTATCACCTAAAATGGCAGAAACCAACTTAGGGAAAAATATTTGATGTGGACTTCGATTTTTTAGTTTGGCCCATTTGTGACCTGTACTGTAGCCAGCCACCAGGGGGCCATCAAGATGTTTTGGCTTCACTTTTAAGAAGCTGTCATGTTGTCCATCTAATAATACAGCCTGTGAATGATGTATAATTTGATATATATGGCATCTAAGTCAGTTTGTAGAATATGAGTTCATGCGCCATTTTGCATCCCTAGTTACATGAAGCAAATTCTAAAAGGAACAAACAGTGAATTGCTGTCACCAGGAATTAAATGGAGAGGCTGTGGTCTGTACGAAGCACTCACTTTGCCGTAGCTGCTGATCCCGACTGTAGGCAGCAAAGCGGTGAGGGATGAGAAGATCCAGCCTGCTGTCATGACAATGCACGCATGTCTCAGGCGAAGTTTGCGGTCGAGCCGCAGAGCAATTGTGATGGTGTGCCAGCGCTCCAGTGTGATCGCTGTTAATGTGAACACCGACAGCTCACTGGCAAACACCTGCAGTTGAAACAAACACGGACACTTATAAGTGCTGTCATTTATTTAGTGCTATCATGCGTATGCAGAGGACTCCGTGCCTGCCTACACACCGTGAAGAAGCCCGCAGCACTGCAGCCCAGGCCCATCTGCCAGTCTATGGCGTGGTTGTGGTACTGGCCACGAGTGAACATGTCCACAGTTGCTATGACTACCAGGTAGATGCCCATGCAGAGGTCAGAAAAGGCCAAGTGGCACATCAGGAAACGAGGAACAGTCAGTTTGGAGCGGCTGCCTGACAACAAAACAAAAATACAAAACCAAATTTTGGTACTGAAAAGTAAAAGTAAACTGCATTTGCAAATCAAGGAACTGTAAGAAGGAGGGGAATTAGGACAGAATGTAGAATGAAAGAAAGAACACAAGGAAGGAAAGCAGCAAGTAAAAAGAGGGAAAGAACAAAGGAAACAAGGAAGGAAGGGAGTTAGTAATGATTTTCCCATTTCATACCGAACAACACCAGAAGTACCGCTGTGTTACCCAGCAGCGCGAGGACAGAGATGATCCAGATGAGGACCCGTAGGGGGACAGCGGACATGATGTCCTCACAGGGGTTAAAGGCGTCTGGGATTGGGCTGCAGGTGATGGAGGTGAAGTTGAAGCAGTGGGCCCTCTGGAAGTAGGGGTCAGCCTCGGGGTGGGAGCAGAAAGGGTGCCATCTGGATCTGGCACACAACAATATAAAAAAAGTGCATGTTAACAAAATCACAGTTATTCGCTATTTTTTCACTAACACAGCATTCACTTTCATGACATATTTTTCTGTGAGTTCATGACAACAAAACCTGGTCTAAACCGACAATGGAAACACAAATCGGCGCATCATGACTTTACTCGCCACGGGCAAGAGCGCCATTGAAATAAAGGGTAATAGTCTGTGTGAAATAATAAATATAACCACCAGGACATCACCCCTTGATTTGTAGACTCCCATTTTGAACAAGTAGCAACCTCTGAGGCTGAAAAATGAAGCCAGTTCACAAGTGCCAAAGGCTGCAGTTCCTCAAATGGCCACTTGAGGCTGGCTCCAAAAGCAAGTAAATCCCCATAGACCCCCCCATGTTAAAATGCCCAACTTTACAGCAGATAAAACATGTTTACAGCTTGGTATGAAAAACAGTTTTGGTCACTATAGCTAATTTCCACATTCATGACTGTACAGAAGGTGAATTTTTACATAACTCAATCATTTACATTTTATTAAGGCTTAAAGTTAGGCATATTTTTGAAGCCACAAGTTCAGCATTTTGGCCCTCACCATCTTGGATTTTTTGAGCCAGAAGTAACCATAATTGGATGAGAGGGTAGAGCTACCTCTAACACTAGCTGCTACACTTAAAAAACACTGAAATAGCAACAACTAGCTTACAACTACGCCTTTACTCTGTGAATCTGGGGTTACACCATTGGTTAAATTACCTAGCCAACACCCTTAATCATGCATAACTTTAAGTCTTAATAAAAACCATTTGTTGTACTGGGCTGTAAACATGTTTATTTCTGCTGTAAAGTTGGACATTTTTGATGTGGGACTCTACGGGGATTGACTCTCTGTTGGAGCCAGCCTCTAGTGACCATTGGAGGAACAGCAACTCACGTTTGACCATTTTTCAGCATAACACATTTAGAGTTTGGCTTCTAGGCCTCATCACTCCCTGCAGATACGTTGACATGAGCTATTAGGGAGTGACGATACTGCGATACTGATGCAGGGCAGCAGTGGCACTGACAAGGCAGAGGGAGAGACACGTATATGAATCAATGCAGCTTGAGTTGACTGTCTGAACTAGCACACAGCCGTCACTCTATTTATTGGCACTTCCCCGCTGGCTTCATTTTTCAGCTGCGGAGGTTGCTGCTTGGATTGAACAAACAAGCTATAATGTGTCACTAACTGTGTCATATTTGCTGATAGATGATTTTTGTTACCTTTGGACAGAGTCGGGCTAATTGCTTCCCTCTGTTTCCAGTCTTTATGCTAAGCTAAGCTAACTGTCTCTTGGCTCTAGCTATGTTTTTAGCGAGCAGACATGAGAGTGGTGTTGATTTTCTCATTTAACTCTCTGCAAGGAAAAAGCACATTTTCTCCAAAGTTTGATCTGTTCCTTTAACCATAAGGCGTTCGGACGCATGCCTACCTGTTCCTGTTGATGTTTTGGAAGGGGCAGCAGTGTGACGGGTACGTCACGTGGGCCTGGCGGAGTTCGGTGAAGAGCTGCAAAGGAGGAAGCTCTTTCAGGTGGAAGGCGGACTGCGCAAACAGCTTCTGGAGTCCACCGAGTATGGAGTCCGGCAGGGAGCTGAGGGCTGTTTCGGAGATGTCCCTGCACAAACAAATACAAACAAGTAGGTGTCAAACAGAGGAGTAATTTCAGGACCCATGTCATGTTTAAAAGATGTCTTCTCTGTTTTCTATATGTACAAGACATTTGATCTGTGAAGAGTTCAAAAAAGCTTTTATTTGTTTTTCTCAGGAAAAAAAAACTGTTTGTATTTAGAATAAAACACAGCAACTCAAATTTCCTGAGCAGGAAATTCAAGGTAAGAGCCACTGTTTGATTGCCAACTGATTGCTGGAATGTGAAGTCAAAAACACGACAGCAATGACAGCCCAAAACAAAAACAAATACAGTCTCTTTCTGATTGCTGCTTCAATACAAATGGGTGTCTCTTTGATTGGGGAATAAACAGATAAAAAAAATATCTCTCTCCACCTCTCTTCACCTGCTCTCGGTTTATTTTTACCTTAAAGCTGGCATGTTTCCACAAATCCCCCCCAATCCCTACCAATGCCACAGTGTTTCTTGTTTCCTCCTGGTTTAATAAGTGATGATGAGGGTGAATCATGTAGGTAAGAGTTACTGTTGGATGTCAGGCTTTTTAAAATGTATGGACATTTTTGGACAGTTTTTTAAATTGGTACCGTACTGAAAGAGAGCACTGTGGAAACAGCAGAAACAAAAACAGGCTGCATTGTAATCTCTATGGGCAACTGTGCACTGTCAATTTATTTTATTTATTTATTCTGGTCTTTTTGTTAGTTAACCAAGTCTCGCTCAAGGAGAAGTCTTGCTCTGAAATCTTGCAGACTTTCCCAAATTGTTCACGTTTGCCTACGAAAAATAATGCACACAAAGGCGTACATATCCCACATAATCATGAGCCAGTAATTCGTGCATAACCCATGTATTTTGGAAGGTTGCGATCAGGGGCCTGTATCACGAAGCGAGATCAACCTTTCCTGAGTTACCCAGACCTGTCCTGGGTTGACTAACCCTAACAATGGCAATCAGGATAATCGGTATCACGACGCTGGATATCAACTCGGTAACTCAACCCAGGATTGCTTTATCAAGAACCGTGAACGTGCACGCAGCGGACCAATCACAATCATGAGAGAAGCGCAGTGTCACTGAGTGTCCTCACAGAGCACCGTATGTAAGGAAAAAAAAGTATTTCTTGTGAGGATCAGAGTTTAATTCTACTAAAATATGAAGAGGAGAAAAGCAACATTACAGAAAATGCCAACACCGTGGCAGCTGCAGGAGGAGGAAACATACATAGTAGTTTATTCGCACATAATGTTAAAAACAGACAGTATAAAATTTACAAGATTAAAAAAAAAGAAAAGTGCCGGAGAGGTTAGAAGCCACTAAAAGTTTATCAAAGAAATTCCCCTGTCAAAACATGAATGAAATCACATAATAGAGAAGAAAAAAAAACAAGTAAGGAAAGAAGAAATAGAGGAGGAGAGAGGGAAAAATCAAGACAAAACAAAGTAGCAAATAAAATGATGTGTAGGTTAAATTACTCATCACTGGTTCAAGTAGCTACAGTACCTGTACCTGTACATCTGACACTGGTCACACCCTTGAATCCCATGAAATCAATGCTGCGCAGATGAATTGCGTGTATTACAATTATCGTCTAACATCATTGCGTCTGATAAATTGGTCTTCTTTGTCATAACGTTATGTATGCTACAATAAAGCTTAAAGCTGACGCCACAATTAAATCATATCAACACCAACACCAAATTGATAGTCTGAATAAAATCATCCTGATATTGAGCTGTGTTAGAAATTAACAGCTGCGCAAAAATATACCTAGTCTCCCTCTTTAAAAAAAAAAAAAGAAAAAACCAAAAAAAACAAAAAGAAAAAAAAAAATAGGCTACTTTCCACATTTCCAGCAGCAAAGCTGTCAATTAGGCCCATTTTCTTTAACAGGGATCATTTCCTCCAACAAAACAAAATGTTGGCACTAATTAATGGTGCTATTAAGTGTCCGCAAATGATCAGTTTCTTTCTTATGAAGGGGTGGGATGAAATTTCGACTTCTTTCCACTCCTCTTTGAACAATTTTTTCATTGTCTGTTGTTGTTGCTTTCTTTTCTTTTTTAATGTTCAAAATAAACTTTCAAATCAAAATCAATCAAAATAATTAAACTTCCCGTCATGACTGGGCTGCATTTCTGTCAGCAGAGTCATTTTTTTCCAAACAGCTGATTGGCCAGTGGGTGGTGCTTTTTATAGGATTAGATTCAACCCTGAATTTACCCTGCTCCGGAGTAGGATAGCCGTTCAGAGTAAGTTACCATGGTGATCTACCCAAATAAGAACTGAACCGGCTTTGTGAGACCGAAAACCCAGGGTTAACCCTGAAGGTACCTCGCTAAGACATTAATCCTGCTTCGTGATACAGGCCCCTGGTGACTGACGCACTAAGTAAACAAGGAAGCAGCCCCAAGCGGACCAGTAAGGAGGTAGGGTTACGCCGATGGATAAGGGTGTGCCATGTCGTTCATGATAATACCGGTACAATTTTTAATATCGTATGAAAAATTACATAACGTGATACTTACTTACTTCTAAATAACAATCTGAGCCTGTCGGTGAAAAAAACGAGTGCTTTAATGGACTATAATGACAGTGCACAACTGCCCGCAGGGATTACAATGCAGCCTGTTTCCCTGCTGCGGCTGCAACAGCGGTCTTTTTCAATACTGGACAAAAATAGGGTTGAAAAATACCAATGTTTCCCTGAAACCCCACCGGTGGACATCTTAATCTGTTTAAAGTGGCACTGTTTGTTGTCTACTCTTTGTCATTTGTCCGTTTACGTGTCGTGTATGCACGAATAAATAAAGTTATTTTGAATGAATCATGCTTACAGTACCACCAACTCACTGGAACCCACAAAGGCGTTGGGACTGATGTGAGTAAGCTGTTGGTTGCCTCTTAGGAACCTCAGAGAGAGAGGGAGAAAAAGAGAGACAAATTAAACATGTGAGCTGACTTTTATTTTTTTATTCTTTGGTAAATCTTCTGTTTGTTATCGCGTCTCTGTCTGTGACTCACAATCTGTGCATCTTTGTGCCGTTGAAGGCGTCACTTGCCACCTCCTTGATGCCATTTCTGGTGAGCCGTCTGTCATCAGAAAGAGAAGCCAAATTACAGTCATGTGGCTCCGACACAAACAATTCCCAACAATAAAGTTCTCTGAACAATCAAAGCTAATTTTAGTGTGTACAGTTCTTTTGTTCTCAGTGACTAAACCTGCATGAATACACAGAAATCACTAAATAAATTGTATTTATTATGTGAGAGTTCCTTAGAGACCTTGGAAGCTGTTGGCAGACCGCATTTGTTGGATAGTATATATTTAGATTCCTACTGAAGTAAAAGTAGTAATACCACAATTCAAAAATACTCCTTTAAGTAAGCATGTGCAATATTACTTAAAGGAATAGTTTTGACACTTGACACAGATGAGAAGATTAATACCAATCTTATATTAGTTTGTTAAATATGAAGCTAAAGCCAGTAGCTGGTTAGCTTAGCTTAGCATAAAGACTGGAAACAGGAGGAAAAGCTAGCACTTTTTTAAAGTAACAATAATTTTCAAAGTAGAAGTCGTAGTAACTGTAGTTAGTGATGTCTTAGTTTTAATTTGTTCAATAATATACCTTTGCTTTCTTCTTCTTTTTTGTTTGTTTTTTTCAACAACAAAAAAACAAAAACGCCAGGCCACTACTAAGTCCCTTCCTTATAGCATCTTTGCATTTTTACACCGCGCCAAATGACAGTGGCATCATTCTGCTCCAGTAGGTCATTTTAGACAGCATCCCAGCATTGTGGAACCAAAAGAGGTGCGACAGGCGTGACATGCAACACAACAGCGTCGGCCTCTAGTGTGACATATAACATATGTGTCTGCAGCACTTTATAAACAATAATAATGGCAAAACATGGCAATAACAATCATTTACCGTCCCTGTTATATGGTGGCTGATCTTGTCCGCTGCTCAAAGCGTAAGGAGCTCCTGGACCTCATTGTTTCCCCAATTTGTGGACATTTTCATCCACTGTTCCACTTCTTTGAGTTAGCTGCTAACTGCTGTGAGCTACTTTACACATAACACGTTGTCAAACTGTCACACCTATGCCACCCATGATTCCATCCTGCTCAGTATCCCTTTAATATAGACCTCATTTTTGTGCCGTTAATACCTCCAATACCAGCTCAAAGGTGAGATGTACACCCTTTCCACGACTGTACCTTTTATACAGAACGGCCAGGGGCATAAATGAGTGAAATTTCCACCTTGAAGAGGCAGTGTCAAAGGGGTTAGTGTAAAAGGGCCGATAGCCTCTTCTGGCCTGTATGCCTGAAATAATTTCGTCTGATTTCGCAGGGCATCAGACCAGGGACAGGCATTTAAAATAACTTTAAGGCAATAGCCGGTTTTCTCGCTAATGGTCTTGTTTGCTTATGTGGGTCGTACAGAGGCATTAGTTTTAATTTGAGACGGTTTCATAGCCAGTTAAATACTTCTTATAGCTGTTTTAATGACTAAAGAAACATTTATGAGCAAAGTTAAGTTAAAATACACTCAAGCAAAGAGGCAATAGGCAGCGGTAAGAGTGTTGAAAATGCAGGAAAAAGGAGACAAGTAGGAGGAGACAAGTCTCAGTAAAGAGGGCAGAGAGCATTTCAGGGAATATTCGTCATTGCGAATGTAATGCCCACTCAGAGCCATGTGAGGGTGGTGCACAATGTTGCTAAAAAAAAAGTGATGAATCCCTTACATCTCGTCGATAGTTTGAGTGCAAAGGCCTCTGAAGGCATTGGCGGGGACTCTCTTTATGTGGCTGTTCTCCTGCAGGTCTCTAAGCAGCATGCAGATCAAAAGCACATGATTAACAGCAAATACTGACAAGAAAAACAGCATATTTAAGGTGATATGAGGTGCAAAACATCAGGAATACATGCCACAGTCCCCTTTAAATCCCTCTCCTTTTTGAGGCTGATAGATGTCAGATGGGAGTTGGATTTTTAAAGGCCGGAGACAAGGGACAGATGGTTTGTATTCCTGATTTTCTGTTCTGTAAGGACTACACAGTGCGTAGGTTTTAACTGCAGTGTTATATGTTTAATGGTGTGATATCTTCTGGGCATTTTTAATGTTGCGTGCATGCAGTAGCCTATATGTTGAAGTGCACGTGGGAATAATGGTGCGTGGGCGGTTTTAGTTCATTTATATATTGTGTGGAGACCTACAAAAGAAAGCTGTGGGCCGAAGAGTTGATCTTGGAGAAGTTTGGGAACGTTGTCAGTCCTGTGTTGGAGATGGTCCTGTGATGTGCAGATTAATCACCAAATGTTACTACATTCACACCGCAACTCTCACTCTGAACAACAATGAGTCATGGTGATAAAATCAGACAATGTTGCATTCATTGTATTAACCGAGATAAAAATTAGCAAGTGAAGAGATTCCAAGACAATTCGGAGAGAAGCTCGGGTGGCAGGGAGATAAATCAGACATTTTGTGTTCCAAATAACTGTCCTTTCTATTTTTTGGCAACAACACATAACAAGTTCAACATGCAGTGTCTCTGAAACATTTGACAGTCTGTAAAACACTGAATATTCAGAATTGGGTTTTGAATTTGTGAAGAATAAACTTGATTCTTCAAAAACACGACAGAGAATCTACAGCCACAGTAGCAGCTCTGTGAGGTTGTGTTTGTGGTGCTTTGGTTTGAGCTAAATGTAAATGTTAACATGTTAACACCCTCACAATGATTATGTGAATATATGCAGGTGTTTAGCAGGTTGAATATCTAGAATGTTCAGCATCTTGGTTTAGCATAGTAGCAGGGCCGTCCCTTGATTTTTGGCGGCCCCCTCATTGTAATGTGTTGACCCAACCTGTGTAAGGGTTGTCAATGGATAACCATTAATCATTTAGCCGCAGAGTATATTTTTGTGACCGCTTGTGCATGTCGGTCCATAGATTAATTCTGCTACTCTTCAGTTTACTGCACATCAACTAGATCTGGTGGGAGACAGACAGCCAGCTAGCTGTGTTAACATGTGCTCACCCTCTGGTCTGCACTACACCAGTCAGGTCAAGTGGGAGCTAGCTACCTGCTCATTTGGTGGTTACCACTTCATGCCATCCTGACCCAACAGCATCGGGTGTGGAAACATCGGGTCCACCCCCGAGTCTCCCCCCAATTGTCTCGGTGAGCAATTGGCTAAATTTTGAGGCGCAAACTCCCTTTACCATCACTGTTAGCTTGGTTAGCACCTTTAGCAGAATCAACTAGCTAGTGGTGCTAACATAGTTAACAATGCTGAAAGGGTTTTGCAGCTCAAAATGAAGCTGCTTACTCACCAGGGTCACGGGGGCGTAGGGGTTGAGCCGGAGGGTGGCCACCATGTTTCCGTGACAATGTCATCCCGCCACTGGGACAGTGTTACAATGCAATGCTACTAGCTGACTTAGCTCCCACCCAGCTGAGACCAGACGGTGGGCAGTGGGCAATTATTTCTGCATGCTAACGCAGCTAGCCATCTGGCTGTCAGCAAAGCCAACAAAAATATATAATAAAAGGCAACACATTTGCATCATAAAACATTAAAATTTCATCACCCCTGAATAGGTATTGCTTTGAAACGCGGTGCTAATGCTAACTGAGACAATGGAGCCACGGAGTAAGTGGAAAGGCCTCTTTGTATTTCACATCACTGCGTTTTTTAAATTTAAAAATTAACAGGTTAGTTACTGGTTCATGGATGTCAGACTATTGACAGCAAACTGACATCCCTAAACTTGTATGAACTTATGTATTGAACCATTACTCTAAGCACACATAATGTACGAATAAGCGGTGTTGGACAGTAATGTGTTATTAGCAACAAGTTAGAGTAATAATATTAATTTCCCCGGTAACCAGTAATACTTGTTTAGTACAATTTTTTGTACAATTTTTTACTTGTTAGAATTACTAATAAATTTTCAGTAATACTACTACAATAACCCCAATAATTAAGGGGTACTGTATGTGCTAGCTACCTGTTGGCCTTGTTTGTTTGGTGTGTGTAGGCCTTTAGCATGCTAACATAAGAACCAGCTAGCTAGCTAGCTAGTTGCTGAATCTAAATATATAGCTTTGGAAAGCAGGATTTTGGATATCAAACCATATTTGGGTACAACCTCACAGCTGTAACATTTTTTTAATTAAAACTGAGCATCTTTTTAATAGAAAATCGTCTTTGTAGAGTAGTTGTGCTAAGGTACCCCGGTTTTACAGTTCAATAGTTTAATAATAGAATTTTTTTCACCATAAACTGCTCCGTTTATCTGCCCCAGTTCACACAAATTGGGACAAACACAACAGTAGCAAGTTATGATAATATCAGTGAGGGATTTTAGGGATGTGTTGTACTTCATAAACTGTTACTTTAAAACTCTTTTAAAAGATATAAACAATCCAATTTAGTATTTGGTGCATTTGTGACAAATATATTTAACATGGCTGCAATGATGGATAACTCATTTTGTGGAAAAACTTTTTTTCATGAGAAGTGTGACACTTAATTTCTCTTCCAGGGGATCCAAGCTAATTAAAAAATGATGTCTCTGGTTGTGCGGCGGCCCGTCAGAAGTAGGCCTGTCACCCATGACCCAATTTCGGACTCACAATCAGCTTGAAAAACACAAACTTAAGAAGAAAGTACTTCTCCCCGCTGCACTCTCACTGAGTACTCACAGATACCGTAGCCTCACAATGTTTCTGAATGCATCTTGATGGATGTGTCTCAGGTTTTTTGCCTTTGTTATGGTTCTGAAAGGAACACATACAGCCATGTACTCATTAATATAAATTACTAGTCTCACAATTACAAGGTTTCACCACTGCCATTATCGTGCCAGTCATACTTACATCTCGATGAGTTCAGGGAGATCAGAGAAAGCAGAAGCTCCTATACTCTCCAACGCAACATTCTCAGAGATGAAGCTAAGGGAAACACAAATGTGTAAAGTAGAATATGACAAATGTATCAGCTGTTGGGTGTTCATTCACACTTATTCTTTGACATATTTAGTCTCCAACACCCTGCCAAGCATGCTCCTCAGCTGTCTGTTTTGGGCGATCGGCTTTCTCAGAGTTTGCGGCTCTTCTTGTTCCATAACAAAGACTAAACACACAAGCACGTCGGATAAAACAAGTCACGAACGAAGGCTTTTCGCAAACTGTATACTCACATTTCAGTGAGCTGAGGCAGGCCGGCAAAGGCAGACGCGGTGATACTCTCCAGCATGTCGTTCTTGGATATGATGCTGAGGTTGGAGGAAGCGGGGAAGAGAGGGAGAGGGTAGATTAAAGGATATAAAATGGCTGTGCAGTTATTTTTCAACTTTATTGAAGTTTAATTCAAAAGCAATGATGGCATTTATCCAAATAAAATAAAATTTTTACACTCACAATAGTACTTATGAGAGGATCACCACACTCTAAAATAACAATGCTTAGATTAAAGAAAGCCAAAAACATCAAATATAGAGAAAATACACTGAACACTTACACAAGAATTTCAAAATAAGGTTAACTTTTTCAACACTAAACAAAATGGCATCTTAGGGCTTATAACAACGTCAAATAGGGCGCACACTTTCTCATGCAAAAACACATGGTAAATGCCGTTCGCAACTACATTTAAAGTGCACTCAGGAGGCTGCAGATCTCCCTGAGGTAGCTGCCCAAGCTGATCGGGTGGGCTGCACACAGAAGATGATGTTCTCCTGCTAACAGGAGCTGTGTGAAATATAGACACTATGGAATTACGAGGATGAATGTGTTTTTAATAACTAAAACAGCCAGAAATCTTTGATCTATGTTGTTCATAACTGGACTTTTAAAATCAATGTTATTGTAGCACTTGTCATTACTGCTTGCCCTGCTTCTCTCCCTGTATCTGCCTCTCTTTATGCATCATTTTGTCATAAGGATCACTGTACATTTATTATGTTGATCTGTTCTGTTCTGAGTTTTTCCTTATCCGCTGTGAGGGTCCAAGGAGAGAGGGATGTCGTATGCTGTAAAGCCCTCTGAGGGAAACTGTGATTTGCTTTGTAGATAAAATTGAAATTGAACTGAAATTGAAGATAGTGGCGAAGAAAACAAAAATGGGGGTTTATTCATCTCGTATCGTGCCTAACTTTAGTGGATCATAACATATCAGGCATGGAATAATTCCGCAGATGCTCCAGTTTCAACATGAGACAAAACTCTTCTATGAATGTGGCTTGCAACGGACGGTAAGGCTTGTCGTTTTTAGCTGTGCCGATTTCTGGAAAACCTGCCGCTCCTAACAGCCAGGTAAGGGGAGTGAGGAGTCAGCAGTCAATAAACTATGATTCGCCAAAACCACAAGAGGTCACTGAGCATAAAGTCATACAAGTGCAAACAAAATGATGAAGCTAGATAGTTGGCAAGATAGCGAGATTAGCTCCAAATGCACGATCCCCTCCAGGCTTTGGCCCAGCAGAGAAAATGAGACATTTATACATTACACACACACACACACACACACACACACACACACAATATAAAAGACAAATTACCTTTTTAGCGCAAATATAACTACATATTTTTGAGCTCTCATTTTCTATTAGTTTTATTATTTATCATTGTTAGTTTAAACTCATGTGGAAATACTCTAAATAGATCATTTCAATACTCCAGCCTTATGTACTTTATGTATATCATGTTTGCTTTTATCGCATAAGCACACACTTCAAGACAAAGACGGAAACTAAAGTTTGTAGCACAAATATAATTCTATATTTTTGATTTCCATTAGTAATTTTAACTCATGTAGATTGTAGACTTTTTTATGCACTGCGTATCAAATTAAGCTGACCATACAACTGTATTATCACTAAATTGCTTTGCTTAAATTTGGAGGAATAACACCAAATGTAGGTGCAGATAAATTTGACGGTGAGGCCCGACCACTTCTGCTCTGTTTGGATGATCCATATCTTGAGTGTTTTGACCTCCTCTGTTCATTACATTCCACATCAAAGCATAAACACGAACAAGAGACACTTACAGTTTCCTGAGGTGCTGCAGGCTGGTGAGAGCGCCCTGGGGAATCACTTTGATCTGAGTCTGCTGAACTTCCCTGTTGACACAGAAACAATCACTCACATCAACGCTCAGTGACACACTGATCACAGGAACGTGATCAGTGATCTGCTACTCTTCAGATCAGAAAGTAATTAGTGGCCATTTTTGCCGCGTGGCGGGGATCATTACTACTTCTTCCAACTTCGTATGTGCATTGAATAATGATAACAGTCAGTGAGGCCAATGATTGGTTACTCACTCATTTTGGGGATTTTCTTTTCACGCAAGGAGCAAGCACTTTTGTGTGCAGAAAGTCTAAAGATCCCAAGCTTATTCTGCATCTGCTCGTCATCTGAAACGACCCTCCTTTGCTGCATACTTGCAAATATCCCCACTGTTCCTGAGCCTTGACCTTCGAGCAAAATAGAACAGATGAGAACACACACATCGCTGCCTGGGAGTTCACAGAGCATCTCTTGGGAACAGACGCTACTTCTGCCACAAAATGCGTCCCCATCTCTGTGTGTGTCGGCTTCATTTACGAGTAAGATTATATACATTTGTACATTGTTCTTGTGTATGTCTAAGCGTGCGGTTGTGCTTCAGACGATCCTAATCTTTCCCCACCGCCACTGTCCCGCTCCCTCCTCCCTGTGGCCTTGAGATTCCTTCAAAACGTCCAAAACAACAGGTCAATGTTTACGCCGTGCCTCAGTGTGTCGCTGAAGCAAAAACACTCAAACCTCCTGTGGTACCTTTTATGAACACGACAATTTGGAGGCTAATCCTGCGTAGCATTTGAAAGGAGAAATACATTAAGGAATAGACCTCTGTGGATGAGCCGGCTCCTGATAAAAACTTCCTGTCCAATGAACAGTGAAGGAACTCTAAGCGATAGAAGTTAAAGCTAGCTGCAATCTACAATCGTCACCACTAGATGCCACTAAATCCCCCTAAATCTAAAACACTGGACCTTTAAAATGTGTAGCACCATCCTTGAACAGTCTTCAGCACAACTCCAGAAATTTGTGACTAAAAACATTTAAGTCCTGTCGAGGCTGAATTTAATACGGACCTGCGGCCACCCTGATATTCCCCAAACTTTAAGGGACAACAACAAAACATTTTACAAAACAAGCTTCTCACTTTTCTTGTTAGGCTTCAGGGATACACACAATGTGTTTTTTGTGAGAAATGCCAAATGTTAACATATCTTTTGTTTGTGTACATGAAAACTCTACAGGGTGTCTTTAACCTGTGGCCACTCTAGAAAGCTGTGGTTACAGTGGAAGCCAAGCAGACGCGCTTTGCATACATTCCCTTAAGTAAATGAATGTTTAATAAAACCAGCATTTGCAAATTCAGAGGAAAAAAAATCAGCCAAGAGGAGATGAGCAAGGATTAGAGAGGAAAGTCAAAATGATTATGCACGCTCACGGCATGTGATGTTGAATTGTACATACGGCACACTCCCTGAATGTGTAGTGGTGTGAGATGGTGACGGAGAAATACTATTTTGGGATGTATTCTCTGTTATATTGACCCATGTCACTTGTAGCTGAGTGGAGGGACACTTCATCGATTTTACACATGAAAGTGGGTTTACTCATCATGATGAGCACCACTCAGACTGTGAAAACAGCTGTATAATGAATTCTGAGCATTCTAACGTCTGAAAAAGTAACCCTGGATGACATGAGGCTGGGGATGAAAGTACAGATTTATAACTGAAAGCACGCATTACAAAGTGGAGGTGAGGAGTTCAGGAGGGTCCAACAAACTACGCTTCTGAGCTGCATTATGGGAATGGAGTGTTTTAGTAGTTTGACCCACACTTAAGATGAAAAGTCAGGATACTGTGGCCTTTGCTGCTTCAATTTTGTCCCTTCTTTTTTAAATCTGTCTCTTGCAACAACTAATGATTATAGTAATAATAAAAAAACAAGTACACACCTTGATGCCATTGACACTGTCAATGAAAACCATTTCAACAGAAGAATAAGTCATGAAACATCTACATGTGTCAGGCATGGTTTGATCCAATTTCACTGCGTTCGTCCAGGAGTCGGCTTTGACCCCCACAGGTTGGCACAGAACGTCAATATGACGTCAGACGACTCTTACGTTGGACTGATTATAAAGTTTGGTTGGAATGAAAAGGGGGTGGACTATATTTTAAATGTCAAACGACATCAGAATGTCACCTTGTGTGGACATTAACATAATGACGTTTCACACCTCACAACTAGAATAAGTAGAAAACCTGTCATTATTCTACGTCAAGATGACGTTGGCATGAGACGCTGAATTTTGGCATCATCTGTCGTCACCATTCCACATCAAACTGACGTTGGCATTAGACGTCCTGACATTGAATTTTGGTCACCTGATGTCACAACTCAAATTGAACCAAATAACAACATGTAAAAACGTTAGTGGCCAGCTGGGAACCTGTCAATGCTGCATCCCTTATTTTGGAAAAAAAATTGCACTGAAGTCCTTAAAGCACTCTCGTACATGCATGACAAGGTCATGGACCCCGAGTCAGCCTTAGCAGTTTTTGGCGCTGCTCACAGAGATCCAAATCTGTCTCGAGCCCAGGCCCACGATGTTGCTGTCTCAACGCTTTTAGCAAGACGTCTCATTCTTTATACCTGAAAATCAAACTTTCCCAACTGCGCAGCAAGTGAGTGAAATGTAAACACCTACAATACATTGGCTATACATAGATATTTGCATGCATGCACCTGTAGATATGTGAGTATGACTGTACTCACAGGCATTGGGTGTCGCTGGAGATGTTGGAGGGGATCTCTGTGACCCCGAAGCCCAGCTGGTAGCAGAAGTGCAGGGTTCGTTTGGCCAAGCCATTTGTAGCTCCAGGTTTAATGTCCATCTCTGGGCCAGGTGCCGATGCCGCCGCTGTCTTTATCATCACCATCATTAACATGATCAGAATCATTATCATCATCATTGTAGTCCACAGTCCTGATTGTTGTATTTTAGGTTCCCACTTTGGTAATCTCCTTGTTTTCTTCTTCTTTTGTTTCTCCCCCCCTTTGACTTTGTCTTCCACGTGGTGTTTTACATGTACGCAGGCCTTTAACCAGAGCCCACACTCCACATTTGGTATGAATGTTTTTGCCTGTTTGTCCGTCTATCCGCTCCGGGTTCACCACCAGGTCAAAGCGAGAAAAAGTGCGAGGTGCTTTGGTGATGTGACCGTGCAGTGGTGAATAATGGGGGCGTGTTAAAAGCTTCATGGGTGTATGAGGATGTAGGAGGTCTCTGCTGGATGGTGTGTGTGTGTCTGTGTAAAAAGGACCACAGCAGTGCTTTGGCCTTGATAGGACGCTGTGATAAAGACTATTCTTTTTGGGCTTTTACAAATTGCATGCTCTAGTCTGTCCTAAAATGTGTTTCTACTTTGTATTTATTACACTTTGACCTTTAAATCGCTCCATCAAAACACATTGGTGTACTGGATGCAATGCTAATGAAAGTTGCACAAAACTTCCTTTGTTATAGGTATTAATTTCTTTTTAAAAAACACATTTTAAAAACTGTTCTGTATAACAATCCTTCACAATAAGTCTCACCTCATTTGTCACCTACAAAGTTGGCTCTCATTTATTGAGAGCCCTCTGTGTTTGTCATTTATCTGCTGGCTTCACAGCTGTAACGTTACCTAAAAAGACAGCAACAGTCTGAATAGCTTTCTTTTATCAATGATCAATCTATTCCTATTTTTTTATTTATAGAGTCCTTTATTCTGCTGAACTCCTTGGCATATTTTCATATATTCTACTTAATACTCAGCTATTTATGTGTCTACATGTTACTGTATGTTACAGTATGTGTGCAAGGCAAGCTGTTCAAACAAGTTGCAACCATTGGAATTATTGAAGTTGTCTTTATCTGAGAAAGGAGCTAAAAAATTAATTCTCAAATGAAGTTAAAAATCTGAAATAGCAGACAGCGGTGAAGTCACACATTTTAGTTGAGTTTGTATCATTTGATTTAGCAAAAAAATCATTTTTAACTTTGTTTTTTGTGAAGCTCTGTCAAAAACTGACAGGAAATTTAGTAAGCTAATGCTAACAAGGTTAGCTAGCTGCTTAGACGTTTTATATTTAGTTTATTTGACATTGTAGGAGGGACACATTAAATCAGACACATATAAATACAAACTATTAAGGATGACATATTAAAATTGAAGACTTACTGTGTTTCCATTGTGGATCTTTAGTTTCTGTAACAGACCGAGAGGCGTTAGCTAGCTAACGAACTCTACCTACCCTTCGTTTTAAGTCCCGCCCTACTGTGCTGTGATTGGCTTTTACAACTGTGCTGCGATTGGCTAGTTTCTGGGTTGTTTTTTTTTGCAAGTCAGCGACACTAATTAAACACTGGCCACTTTATTAGATACACCTGTTCAACTGCTTGTTAACGCAAATAGCTGGTCAGCCAATCACGTGGCAGCAACTCAATGCATTTAGACATGTAGACATGGTCAAGACGACCCGCTGAAGTTCAAACCGAGCATCAGAATGTGAAAGAAAGGTGATTTAAGTGACTTTAAACGTGGCATGGTTGTTGGTGCCAGACGGGCTGGTCTGAGTATTTACTGGGACTTTCACACACAACCATCTCTAGGGTTTACAGAGGAAACACATCGAAAAAATTGGGTTTTAGGCCCCCTAAGACCAAACGCCCCGAGTTGGGGATGCTTGTTATCAACTTGTAATGGCCCAAGGCTAACAAGAAATAATAGTGAAATAAAGGTAGCAAAAAACAGCCTGATGGCTGGGCCTGGCTCCCGGCCTATAATGACACAAAATCTAAATATAGCCTATCTTGAATTCTCACATCTACAGATACAATTTAACACCTCATTCATATCGACATATCGACACTGTAGGCTCTGCGTCAAAATGGAGCCTGTGCCGTAGCCTGACATGCACCTCCCCAGAAATGTAACTACAGACTGCAGCAACACAGACCTCCTGTCTATTTCTGTAAGCTGAAACCATTTCCCTCAGTGGAAACAAAGCTTTAATTTACTTTAATTTCACAGATAAGAAACAATAAATTGTGAAGACAATAAAGCCTCCACAAAAATAGCATTTTAAGTCTTGTGTGTGATTTATCCTGGCTTCATATGAGCAGAGGAAATCTCCACTCGTCGCTAGGCTAATTTATACAATGTAAAATGCCATAGGTTTGTGCTAATAACATTAGCATGTTATATTTGTTTGGAAAACGTGTTTAGTATAAGACAGTTGTTTTGTCAGTGAACCTTGTGAGTTGTAATGGATTTTCGTAACGTTACCTTTGTTAAATGTTGCTGTTGTCCCTGACTTCATATGAGAAGAGGAAATGTTAGCTGCTAGGCTAATTTATACAATGTAAAATGCCATAGGCTTGTGCTAATAATGTTAGCATGTTGTATTTGTGGGGAAAATGTGTCCAGATAAAGACAAGTGTTTGTCTGTGAATGCTGCGAGTCATAGTGAAGCTGATTTGTGTACTTGTGTTGTCTCTATTAAGCCATGTTTAATGTGTGTTTAATGTGTGTTTTGAATCAACTAAACTTTACAGCACCTTATAGAAACCTCCACCGCCGACTAGTGTTCTGGAGGTGTAACTGCAGAGTGACACAGACACACCACCACACCTGTATAAATGCTCACAACGGCGCAGCAGGCTATGGCATAGCGTTAATTAGCAGAGAAGGAAGAGCCAGGGCAGAAGAGCTGCTAGAGTAAAAGTGTCTGAGAGCTGTGTTAGAAGTTCTCTAAGGCACTCTGTAGAAGTTTCTTTTCACCGTGTAACTGGGTGTAAGACCAGAGGCTGATTTTGACGACGTTGCGCCTGTTATGGGATTCATTTATGGATATCCGTGGAGTTGATGTCGTACTGAGTTAGCATGGTAAGCTAGCTATTAGCCATGTGTAAATGTCACTAACGTTACTGTTATTTTTTAGACCCCTGCTTTATTTTGTGTTACGTTTCTTTGCATTAAGAGTACCATGAACCAATCAGAGATATCTGTGAGTGTAGTGTTAAAACAGTTTTCTGAGTTTCATTGTTTGTTTTGAAAAAAATGTGAGCACAAGCGGTCACTTGTGTGGCAGAGCCTAACGTTACGCTGTGAGCGTTTATACAGGTGTGGTGATGTGTCTGTGTCACTCTGCAGTTACACCTCCAGAACACTAGTCGGCGGTGGAGGTTTCTGTGAAGTGCTGTAAAGTTTATTTGATTCAAAACACACATTAAACACACATTAAACATGGCTTAATAGAGACAATTTCAAACACAAGTACACAAATCAGCTTCACTATAACTCGCAGCATTCACAGACAAACACTTGTCTTTATCTGGACACATTTTCCCCACAAATACAACATGCTAACATTATTAGCACAAGCCTATGGCATTTTACATTGTATAAATTAGCCTAGCAGCTAACATTTCTTCTTCTCATATGAAGCCAGGGACAACAGCAACATTTAACAAAGGTAACGTTACGAAAATCCATTACAACTCACAAGGTTCACTGACAAAACAACTGTCTTATACTAAACACGTTTTCCAAACAAATATAACATGCTAATGTTATTAGCACAAACCTATGGCATTTTACATTGTATAAATTAGCCTAGCGACGAGTGGAGATTTCCTCTGCTCATATGAAGCCAGGATAAATCACACACAAGACTTAAAATGCTATTTTTATATTTATTTTGCTTTATTGTCTTCACAATTTATTGTTTCTTATCTGTGAAATTAAAGTAAATTAAAGCTTTGTTTCCACTGAGGGAAATGGTTTCAGCTTACAAAAATAGACAGGAGGTCTGTGTTGCTGCAGTCTGTAGTTACATTTCTGGGGAGGTGCATGTCAGGCTACGGCACAGGCTCCATTTTGACGCAGAGCCTACAGTGTCGATTCAACGCAGAAATATAAATTCCACCTAACTGAATTAAGCCACTGATGAAGATAGAGTGAGAAGAAATGTCGTTACTAATGATAAAATTGTTGTACAATACTAACGTGATATTTCCCCTCGCTGTGTGCAGGCTGGTTTTTATTTTGAATCTGAGATTATTTCTGAGAAGACTTGATCCAGGATCAGCGAGCCAGGACCCGTTCCAGGGATGCAAGAAGAGGATCCGGCCTAGTTTGCCACAATACCAGGAGTGATACCAACCTCACTTCAGGACAGATAAGCATGTGAGATCTCAACAAACACACTACCCGGGTAGCAACGACAACATTGACACACCACACACCTGAACTGAGGATAACTGAAGTGAACTGCGGAGGACTGAACTGTTTAACAGACTGACGAACAATGAATGAGAAAACAGCATCTGTGCTGTAGGGACATGTTGGGTTAAATGTGTATTCTTTCACCTCTTATTAGCCGTGTGTAATTTGCTCCTGAGTGGAAACCTAGATGAGATATGCCCTAACACCATAAAAGATCTTAGCTCTCTCACTGTGTTACATAATTAAATAATTTATTATTTTTCTTTGATTTTTTTGTCGTAAACAGGCATGCATGATGATTGTTGGGTAACATGTATGTTAATGTTGCCTATTAAGTCTCTATTTGATCATTGACAAGACGATACAACAAAAATTATGTTCATCTGGCTTTTGTACAAGCAGTTGCGTGTGCGCCCCACAGCTAGTAACTAGCAGCCCTTGGTATTTTTCCAGCTTCTCATGTTCCTTCTTCCTGATGTTGCTGTCACTCTGGATTGCTGCATCTATCAAGTGCCTTCTTCTGTTGTTTGTCCATCAACACAATGTCCAGTTGCTCAGCCATCACCAGTTTGTCAGTCTGAATCTGAAGTCCCACAGGATCTTAGCTCGGTCACTCTCAACCACCTTAGGAGGTGTCTTCCATTCTGACCTTGGGACTTCCAGCCCACACTCAGTGCAGATGCTCCTGTACACTATGCCAGCCACTTGGTTATGGCGTCCCATGTACGCTCTTTTTGCCTGCATCTTACACCCTGTCATTATGTGCTGAACTGTCTCAGGAGCATCTTTGCACAGCCTGCACCTGGGGTCCTGTCTGCTGTGGCAGACCCCTACTTC